AGCATCTGCGAAGCACAGAATAGAAGCGTATTTGAACGAAAAAGCCGTCGAACACATATCTATGTAAAGTAAACAAGCCCCCGCTGCATCCCTTATTCGATAGTTCCGAAATAGTTCTAAATTCGACAAATAGGATCTAGTTCGTTCTGCATCCCTTTTTCTATAGTTCCGAACCAATTCTAAATTCGTCACTTTAGATATAGATTTGTAGTAAAAAAAACTGAAAAATTAGTTTCTTAAAAGTACCACTTTTCGCCGATTTTGGACTGGTGGGGATCGAGTTCCTATCGGACTAGTTCCTTTTTGGCGATAAAGACCTAGTACGGAATTTGATTCACTAGTCCGCGGTTTCCCTGCAGGGTACATACATATGTATGTATGTATTGTGCTTTCGGAAAGTGACACATACATATGTACCTAAATGACAGCTGATATCGCTTGCCCTCGTCTGACGTCTCGTTCCATTCAGAGTCAGCGTTGCCGTTTTGGTCCAATTGGACCAAAATTGGTGGGTTCAATTGAAAAAAAAAAATATTGGTAGGTTGGTAGGCAGAAATCGAATTTGGTAGGTTTTGATGTATATGAAACATTTATTGTCCTTTGTCTAGGTCACTGCAAAACAAAACAAAAAAAAAAAAAACAATTTTCCATACAACTTTTATCCAACACCCAAAATTCTTTTCTTTAACAACAATATTGCTAGAAAATGATTGGCATTTTGCAACACCGATATAATCGAAGTGCAACCCTTCTTTGAAGCTTGGTTTTTCCTATTGTGAATAGCTATGCATTCACAATGTTCTTTTCATTTATTGGAAAAAGGCAACTGACTCTGCGAAAGGTTTTCTCAAGACTTTAAGTATATAATTATACTTGGGTGCTTTGCTGGAATTTAGAGGAACTATGGATATGTAAAATATCCACCATAATCCATTTTTATAATTTAAAAATGTATTATAATGTTACAGGTTTCTCACAAAATCATCCAATCTAATTCCTGAAGAGGACAGCGATGGCTCCCAGTCAAAAGCTTCATGCAGGTAAGTCTTCATACAACAGTTGCACCTAGATCTACTAGTTTGGCGGCAAAATATTTTCATTCCTTTATTTGTTAGTACAAATAATACAAGTGAAGATGAGCAGAAATTTAAAAGAAAATTCAGAGTTGGATGGTTCCAACAATTCGATTTAATGCGAGAAAAAATGGGTGCGCCTTTTGCATTGCATGCGGCAATTTTGAACCATTTAGCACACCTAAAAAACCACGAAAAGAGTAAACTTGAACGCAAAAAGAAATAAATCAGAAATTCCAACAACAGGTACACAATGCTGAACTTACACTAGTGATGTTCCTTATAACCCACAACTTTCCTTCTTATTAATTTATTATTTACCGAGTTTATTAACTGAATGTTGTGCAGACTCGAGTATAGCCAAGAATATTAAATGTGGAAGAACTATATAAATCAGTTCAACTGACTAAATTGCTTTCAGTTTTAACTCCAAATTCAAAAATTTATGCCGAATTTCCACTAGGCATTGAAATGACAAAAAATTTATGCCATTTGAAAAAATGCCATGTGGAAATGAATCTAATTACTATTTTTCTAATGTAATGACAACGATGCCTAGTGGAAATCCAGCATTAAATGGAGAAAAATTTAAATGCTAATAAAAAGGTTAAAGTAAAAGAAAACATTTTAAACTTTTACATTTAACTTATGAATCAAATTTGTACGAGATTCGATTTCACGAGAGAAGATCCAAATTTTTTGCAAATTATTACACCTAGTAATGTTCTATCTAAAAATTATGTTTCCGTTTTACATTTCAAGAACTTATTAGAATATGATGCGGATATTATAATAATGCAATGGAATTTGCTAAGGCAACAAAAAGTATGATTAAAAATGGACTGAATGAATATTTTTTTAAAGAATTATGTAATTTTGTATATAACTTATTGTCTTTACCTCATAGTTGTGCATCAGCAGAATGAAAATTTTCAGACCTAGCTCTTATAAAGACTAAAAGATAAGTTAGAAACATGTATAATTAATAATATAATGTTGTGCACACTATGTGTAGACGGTAGGGGCTGATATTAAAGCACTACAAATCAAATATACATACATGCATATATAAATGTTAAAACTTTTAATGTTTTCGTTTATATTAAATTTTTTGGTAGGCTGACAACCGTTTTGGTAGTTAAAAAAAAAACATTTGGTTGGGAGGAATGAGTTTGAGTGGCAACACTGTTCAGAGTGTGTGCTTGGCGGTGGTTTTTTTATTTTGCCCGTTTTTTATTATTGATGGTTTTTTGCATGGGAGGTTTTGCGGGCGCATCCAAAATATTTTATAAATTTTTATTTGTTATTCATTGCGAGTATTGGCTATTTTGTTATTCGGTTACAAGTAGCATTTTTGCTCATAGAATTCTAACATACTTTTACCAGACTAAAAAAAAAACTTATTTTTAAAACCACTTTCAATTACATTCTTCTATTTATCCCTAAAAGCCTTGGTTTTTTGGTACGTCACGTCGTTGACGGTTGTGACCGTGTTTATGATCATTGAGGCTGCTTGGTTATATTTTGATTGCCTAGCACTAACACAAACGCAGTTAGTTATACACGCGTTGGCGTTTGGAAAGTAAACACCTGCTTGCTAATCGCTTTCCGCAAGTATTTTGTATCATCTATGCCGCACATGCCCGCGTCAAAGTGCTATATACCTACCTACATACATATATCAGCAGAATTCCTATGGGAATTCACCACTGATGCTTTCGACCGAATGAATCCTTTAGCGACGGGCAAAGGAATGTGTCGCCGTCAACACCCAATAAAGTTAACAACAAAAGTGTCATTGATGTAATAAATTGTATGTACGCCAATGGAATGGAAAATGGGTCGTGGTAGTAGCCAGTAGAAGTGGTGACGTGATGGCGTTAAATTTAGTATTGGGGCAGGGTGCGTCGCTTTCGCCCTTTCGGCGCAGGCTGTTCATAAAAATGGCGTTGGACCGGCTTGTCCACCAGCACACATACGCAGGGTGAAATTCAGATGAAAAACTATATTTTTCCTAGTAAGTTAGCCAGAATAACTCTTTTATGGGAGATGCACACTTACATCTATACATACATATGTATATGTTTGTATAAATACTTAGCACCCGCACACAATCTAGTCGGCTGTTAACAGCATCTACTATGGAGCCATTTCTCACCTTTGTAAATTCTTCAATTCCACAGATATTCAACTCTTGCTCTCGTTTATCCACCATTACTACCGTAGTTGTCGTTTGCCTGATATTGCCTCTGCTTCCGCAGCTCCCGTTTTCCCGTTATTGGACTGGCGAATTGGCTTTTAGTGCTTCCTTTCGGCTCCAATACTGCTACTTAGTGTACCTCGAATGCTTCTTCTTCCTCTTGCTTTTCTTCTGGACATACATGCATTCATGGATACACATACACACACACAAACATAAACACACAAGCGCACTTTCACATAGAATAGATATGAGTGCTGGAAA